TACACAACTTTTGAATGTGATTTAGAACAACAACTGACAAGGGAAAAACACTACACCAATATAGACAAATTGGAGTAATAACAGTCTTAATTAACTCGGCCTTCCCTATGACTGACAGTAAATTGTTACTCCAAACAGTAAGCTTTTTTTAAATTTTGTCAATAAGCACATTGCAATGAGCTTTCTTTAGACCTATGGAACACAAAGGTATGCCTAAATATTTCAAAGGAAGCAACTCTTCTTTACATTGCAGCAAATCAATAATATTTCTTCTTCTTCTAACAGCCTTAGAAAAAATAACACTTGTCTTTTGATAATTAATCTTCAAGCCAGAGGCCTTACCAAATATATTAAGCAAACCTTGCAAGGATCGAGCATTTGATATGGAAGCTTTACATGTGATTGACAGGTCATCTGCAAAGAAAGTGTGACATGTAGTAGAACCAGCTTCAAAGCAGTATGAGATAATTTAATCCTCCCATTAGCAACTTCAGAGTTTATGAATTGAGTGAGTTAAACAGTCACTATAGTGAAAAGAATGAGGGAAAGAGGACATCCTTGATGCAGCCCGTTTGTAGGTTGAATAAATCCTGTAGGAGAGCCATTAAGGAGGACAGAATATCTTGTGGACGACAGAAGATTGGAGATCCATTTAAACTCCAAGAAACTGAATCAAAGGCTTTGGAGATATCAGTTTTCAGATCCATAATAAGATGCTTATATTTGAATTCACTAACCATTTCATGCCCCATGATAATAACATCCTGAATTTTTCTACCTTTTATAAAGCCATTCTATTCCAATCCAACTAATTTAGGCAAAACCAGAGAAAGTCTTACAGCCAAAATCTTAGAAATGATTTTGTAAACTAAGTTACAAAGAGCTATAGGCCTATAGTCTTTTGGCTTAACAGAATTACCGACTTTGGGAATGAAAGTAAGAAAGGAGCTACTCACCCCTGTAGGCAGATTTCCTGAATTAAAAAAGTGGTGAACAACTACACACACTTCAGTCTGTACAATGGACCAAAAAGATTGAAAAAATCGAGCAGGAAAGCCATATGGACCTGGAGCCTTATCAGGTTTGAAATTCATAACAACAACTTTAATTTCCTCATTAGTTATAGGGAAATCCAAAGCCAATTGATATTCAGCTGATAACAGATACCGAGTTTGAATATCAAATGGACCATCAACCTCTACACCTTGGTAAATATCCTGATAATAATCCACAAAAGTTTTACTAACCACAGATGGATTAGTAGAAACATGTCCAGTATCAGTTTCAATAGATGTAATAACATTAAATTGTTGGTGCTGTTTCAACTTATGATAAAAGAAACCAGAACATCGATCATTCTCCTTTTAACCATAAAATCCTTGACTTCTACGCATATAGAAATCTCCTGAGATGACAAAGCATCCTAATAGATGTCTCTAGCTTTTTGTTCTTCATCAAATAAGATATCTATAGGGGAAGTTAAGAGGTCCACTTGAATATCTTCCAAATGCTGCTTTGATTGAATAACCTTATTTGCAATATCTCCAAAAGTAGTCTTGTTCCAATACTTTATAGCTGCCTTAACATTTCTCAACTTTTTGAGCAATATATGAATTGGATTCCCTGAAACCTCATCATCCCAAGATTTTTGAATCACTTCCACAATACCCTCTTGCAAACACCAGATTTTTAACATTTTGAATGGCTTAGGACCACTAGCAAATTTTCTAAAGATGTTGATAATAACCCCATAATGATCAGAAGAGGTAGAAGCTGAGTAAGACATTTTTGTACCTGTAAAAAGCTGAAGCCAAGCATCATTTGTAAAAACCCTATCAATTTTAGCTAGAATTCTTCTACCTTTTTCTCTGTCTATTACACTAAGTCCACTCTCCATTAGAAGCAGTTAATTCCACTAGTTCGGCTTTCTGAAGGCTTTCATTAAAATTATCAAGGAGTCTTTGAGGAACTGTACGCCCTCCCTTTTTATCAGAGTGGTATCTAGTAGCATTCCAGTCACCAACAACCAACTAAGGACCAGTAACCATTGTAGCTTGCATAATCAAATGATCCCTGGAGTACAAAAAATTACCTCTCCAGTCTGGATTATATGAACTTGTGAAAGAATACTTTGATCCATCTCTTAAAGCACATCAACTGAAAACATTATTGGATCCTAACCTATCCATAACTTGCCTAAGTCATGAGAATATAATTGTGAAGCCAATTCCAAGATTTGTTAATTTTTCTGGAAATAGAATCAAATTTAGGCCTTCTCACCCTCGTCTCTTGTAAACAGACAAAATGAGCATCATTTGATTTAATCCATTGCCTCACCTCTTTTTGCCTTCTAGGCTTATTCAAGCCTCTCACATTCTAAGAACAAAATGCTTAATTTGTGTAAGTTTCTTGCAAAATAGCTTAATTGTTATATATGAAGTGTGTGGCCATGTGTTAATTGATGTATCATAAAAATACATGTTTAATTATTGTATAGCACGCTTGATTTGTGTTAATTCTTTGCAAAATGACCTATTTGTTATATATGAAGAATGTGATTATATGTTAGTTGAAATGGTAAGAAAAAGTATACTTAAGTGATGGTATTTCATGCCTATTGTGTTTAAATTGCAATATTTCGTAGAATGGAAGTATGATAAGTATTTCTAATAATTTTCCTACAAGACATGTTGTGTTGTTAATATTGGACTTGTGAGATATGAAATTGTATATTGGCATGGCATGATAAACATGGTATATTCATGCATGACATTAGGCAAGAAAATGGGAAATGTCATTTGAAAAGTAAAGAAAATGATTTTGGGAAAAAGCTTTTTGATGAAAGGTTTAGAAAACCCAGTCGCCTAAGAGTTGCCTATCGGTCCGTGGCGTTAATGTGACCTAGAGGGAATTAGGGAGACTGCCCTAATGTGGTTGAGTTACCTGGGCTCCAAATGACGCCCTAGAGTTGCCTTGTGGTCAGGGACAATTAGCCAAACCTTCTCTCGTACCACCATAGAGTTGTTATGGGACGGGTTGCATTAACAGTTTGGAAAAATGATGACGAAAAATATTTCGAAAATGGGGAGCAACATTGCTTGACATTGCATTCCATAGCATGGCATGGTTCATTATGACTTGGATTATTGTTGTTGATATTGTGGTTATATTTTTTTCTAGAAATGGTATGATCTCATTCTCTATTTTTCCTATGCTTTGTTTGGATTCATGGGGTCACAAGAGGTGTGTCTTAGGCACTTCCTACTAAACCATTGTGCTCACCCCTTTATTAATAATATTTTTCAGGACATGGAAAGGAAGTGGTGGACGACAATCCACCACAAGCTTAGTCAGGCCGAAAGAGACTTGGACCTCTTTTGTGCTTAATGTGTATATTGTCCTTTTGTTGTAAATTGTATTAGGTACCTTTGTATCTAATTCATTGGTAGAATGGTTTTGAGACCATCTTCTTGTATCTTGTGGTCTAATTATGACTTTGAAATCCATGTAAGGCTTTAAGGCCATATTTTAATATATGACGGACTTGTTTAACTCTAATGGTGTTTTTTGAATCCCCCCTCTCGCTGCGGCAAAGCACTTATTTAGGTTACTTACCATTTCTTGGGACCATTGCTTGCTCATTTTATATCGATAAAACCAGTATTGTATGTTTTGAGGGATTTCGTGCGGTTGGTTTAAGCTCAAACTATCTTCATTTGCTAATAATGTTCACTGTAGAAAATGGGAGTGTTTTTGTCCTTTTCTTTTGATGTTTGAATATCCAAATGTTTATTTATTTTTGTTCTGCATAGTTTTGTAATGAGCCTAATTTGTTGTACAATGGATTTGCAACTAGTGTGTATAGGACAACTTTATGATTTGTTGATGCATTCTAAATACTTCTTGTTTCTGCAATTAACTTGCGTCAAATAGTCCAATATGATACTAAAAGAACCTCCTAATTTACGGATTTTGTCATGGTGTATACAGTGAGATATAGCATCAATAACACTTCTCTTATGCTATATTTGGAGACTTGTATTTTACGAGACACATGGGTGAAATGACAGGTTGCATACGCGATCATATAAAGTACCGTAGTTTTTTCATTGTAAGAAAAAATTGTGATGCACAATCAATGTGCTTTTGTGTGGTTCATTTTGACTTTAGCCTTTTGAAATTGAACAATTGCCGACTATGATACTTAAACATCAAAAACTCTTTCCTTTATTTCATTCTACTGTTGCAATATGAATGTAAAAAATAAAAAAGTTTGAGGAACAGAGTGCTTCTTTTGTTTTGTTTTTTTTTATTGTTTTATTCATGTAAATTATTTGATCGGTATAATTGGTGTTACAGTTAAGGTTTATGTTTTTGGGCATTGGGTTCATTTTTTCCTCTTGGAATTTCATGTTTGATTTTCTCTCTCTCCCTTATACGGGGGACTTCCTTAACCCTTTTACACTGTTCTTCACATAAAAAATCCCTTGTATTAATGCTCTTTTAAGATCTGTGATTTCACTAATTTTTCGCTAATCTTGAAAGTGGGAATAGTTTGCTGTAAATAATTCTCTCAGTAACTGCATATGCAAAGAAATGAAGTGAATATTAGTGAATTAACCAGAAAGTCCAATCTCAGCTCAGGAGGAATGATACATTGTAACTAGTTTGTATGTGTAGAAGGCATAATTTTCAAGTGGTACAAACTGTAGTAATCCTAATTCTTGCATTACACAATGTAAATAAAAGTCATGAGGTTGATCTTCTACTCGTGACTTATAGGCTTGCTGGTCCTGCATTAATGGTATTCTTTTAACTAATAACATATACGTGTTCAATTAGATGAGATGTTGTAGAATCGAAGGAGGTTATTTTTTTATTGTCATCATTTATCTTAAATTGTTGACTCAAATATTTGCATGTGGAGGTGGAGTTTTATCATCTTTGATGTCATCTTATAAGGGATATGGTGTCACATAGAGCTGATTTCTATTATGCAGGGCTGTTGGAGAAGGTGCTCAAACCAAGCCGACATGCAAATTGCTAATGAAGGGTCCATTGATTTGGAGGAATCATTCGGGAATGATGGGTTGAATGACGATGCTACTAATGTTTGTGGAAAGCCAACTGGGAAGATCTTCATCCTCTTTAGATTCACAATCTTAAAAAGAAAAAAAGAAAACAGTGCAACTTAGATGCACTCCATGCGGCTTTTGCAATGTGTGGCTGACTCCTTTGAGAAAGTTTTCTTTGAACCTCTAATGCCGAGTACCAAGATGGTGTTATAAGAAGTCTCTGAGGATCTAGATTTGAACCAAACACAAGTCTTATTGGAGTAGATCTATTGAAGCGTGATCAATGAAGTTTGAGACAATGATACAACTTTGTTGATTCTATGCTGCTGCCATTTGCATTCTGTTGCGGATATGGTTTACTTTTATTTTGTTTCAATTTGATGTGGTTGGTTGCTAGCTCGGGTTGGTTGCTATGGGTCTTATTGTTGGGTTATTTCACCCACAAGTGATTGGCTTGTGTATCGGTAAGCATTGTGTGTTGCTGGCGTATGCGTATCACCTCCAGTGTATAGGTTGAGGGTTAAGCAGTTTGTGAAGGACAAAAGTGTGTATTGGGTATTGGTCTGAGGAAAAATAGAGGTGGTGAGAGACACTAAAGTGAGTGTTTGGGTATTTCTTTGTTATGGTATTTTCTCAAGTCTCTGAATAACTTTTGTGGATAACCTGCTGTAATTTTTCCTGTGATAGTGAAAGCTTGTCCCGTGGTTTTTTTTTTGGCTCTACACTGGAGGGTTTTTTTCACGTAAATATTTGGTGTAATTTGATTGCATCATTGATTTTATATTTTGCAAAGTTATTTTGTCAGCCCAAAAGATTTTGGGACCAACGAGTGGTATTAGAGCGAGGTTGCGTTGTTGATATATTTTGAGACTAAGATGGAGGAAACTTACCACGGTGCTATGATCATATTGGCAGCTTCAAACTATGCGATTTGGAAGCGTAGAATGGAGGATCTCTTTTACTGTAAGGATTTATACGACCCTATTGAGGGTGATAGTGCCAAACCTACTGATAAAAATGCCAAAGACTGGGAGAAGATTAATAGAAAAACTGTGGGGCTCTTCAGACTGTGGATTAACCACTGTATTTTCCACCATGTTTCTCTGGAGACTAATGATCATAGTCTCCGGAAGAAATTGGAGTCATTGTAGGAGAGGAAGACTGTCCAGAATAAAGCATTTTTAATAAGAAGACGGGTGAATTTGAAGTTCAGATAAGGCAATTCTGTTGTGGAGCACTTGAGTGATTTTCAGAGTTTGGTGAATCAGATAACCACAATGAAGATAGTGTTACTTCTGAGTTCATTGCCCAACAGTAGGGAGACTTTGGTGGTATTGCTCAGCAATTCTGCTCCAAATGATGAAGTGACTTTGAATGTGGTGAAAGATTGCATGTTCAATGAAGAACTACAACGAAAGGATGTTGATAGAGATCAATCTTAGACTCGAGCTCTTGTCACAGAGGATAATGACAGGAGGAGATCCAGAGGGTTTAGAAGAGGGCCTGAAAGTCGTCGCAAAGTCAAGTCACATCCTAGAGAAGAAAGAACGTGTTATCATTGCGGCAAGACAGGTCATATACGGAGATTTTGCTGAAATTGGCAGAAACAACACGATGAAGAAGAAATGAGGAGGAGGATAAGGATAATATTGATGCCATGACAACCCCTATAATAGATGAAGGGTTGGTGGTACTCATGTTGGGAGGTGAAAAATGCAGTCATACTACAAATCAGGATGTTGAGTGGGTTGTTGACACTGCAGCTTCTTACCACGCGACACTTGCATTGGTGTTGTTCACGTCCCATAAACTAGGGAAATTTGGGATAGTGAAGATGGGAAACACTGGTTGTTCAAAACTTGTGGGTGTTGGAGATGTGTGTATTGATACTAATATTGGCTGCAAATTGACGTTGAAAGATATAGTCATATTCCTAATTTGCATCTCAATCTGATTTTTGGGATTGCATTGGATCGGTTGGGTTATTAGAACTATTTTGGCAATGGAAAGTGGAAACTCACCAAGGGTCCATTGGTGGTAGCGAGAGGAATGGCATGTTGTACGTTGTACAAGACTCGTGTAAAAGTGTTTAGGAATGGTTTGACTCAAATCAAGAAAAATTGTTCGTTGAATTCCTGGCATAAGCGACAAGCACTCACAAGTGAGAAAAGGGTGCAGATTTATGTTCCTGCTACAGAAGGTATTGATCAGTGGGAGTGGTTGCCCACTCCAACTTTAGTGAAGATTGCAGAACCTTAACAGAAGGGGTGTTTCAGAACGCATTAGTTGCCAGTCAAATATGGTTCTTTTAGGTATATTGGGTTTGCTAAAAATGGAGAGCAAAGGACTTGTCCAGTTAGTTTAAGCTCTCTGTTAAGATGGTAGGAATGTGCCCCATGCTTATTCTCTCCCTTAACTGAGCCTCGTAGACAAATGGTTGATGCCTTGAGCAGTGGCACATTCTTGCTCAAAAGTGAGGATGAAGCATGTAAACTTTTTAAAAATCTGAGCAAAAATTCTATCCAGCATGGTTCTACTTCTCGTTCTAGGACCTTTGGTACTCTTAAGGTCGAGAATATTTTAGAACTCAAGAAGTCTCGGGCGTTAGCCCTTCAAGTGGAAGCACTTACGCGAAGGCTTAACCAAGTCTTAGCTGCCGGGTGTGTTCCCATTCCTTCTCTTTACTCATCCATAGAATTCGAATTTTGAAGTTCTAGAGTGAGAAAGTGAGGAATACTAGGGTTCTTGAGTGTTCTTGGCTTGGGCTGCCATAGAGTTGAAGGTGGAGTCTTCCTCTTTAACCATTGGAGCTCCTACCACCACCAAGATGAGCTAAATCCCCTTATAGGGGATTGAGGTAGCCTCGATTAAGTAATCATGTAGTTTTGTCATTTAATTTGGGAAAAACTTTTGTATGTGATGAGTTTCATTAATAAAGATGATGATGTATTTTTCAATTTGTGTATTTACATTAGGGCTGCAACTTGGGCTAGCCCAACCCAGCCTCAACCAGAAGCGGGTTGGGTTGGGCCAACCCGAATTATACTCAACATGGATTATGATCATAACCCGGATCGAATATTTTCGAGCGGGTTGGGTCGGGTTGACGGGTTGAGTTTATTTATTATTTTTTTTTTTTCAAAAATTTATATATATTATATTATATTATATATATAAAATATATAATATAAGATAATATAAGATATAATATTATATATTAAAACAAAATATTTTTAGGCAAATCACTTCAGCCTCCCCTATCGCTACATATAATATATATATAAAATATTATATATTAAAACAAAATATTTTTAGGGCAAATCACTTCAGCCTCCCTATCGCCTCCATCTCCGTTCTCTCTAAACCCCCTCTCTCTCTCTCTCTAACATCAAATTACAAAATCTACAAGAATCAGAAATTCAAAACCCATTGCAAATTACAAAATCTACAAGAATCAGAAGTTCAAAACCCACATATTTCAGTTTTATCTAACTGTTTGCAAGAATCAAAAGTTCAAAACCCACATTGGCATATCATTTCAGATTGTTTAATAAATCAAAACCCGGATCAACATATCATTTCAGATTTTCAAAAAATCAAAACCCAGATCTTTCAGTTTCCATCGCCCGCTGTTTCAGATCTCTCTCTCTCTCTTTCCATCGCAAGCTCTCCAAGATTGTTCAAAAAATCAAAACCCAGATCTCTCTCTCTATCTTTCCATCGTAAGCTTTAGCCACTGACTGCTAAAGATTTTTTTTTTTTTTTTTCTGGTTTCGGGTTGAGCCCAAGCCCAACCCGAACATGAACCCGATTTGTGAATTGTATATCCAAATTTCAAAATCTCTGGGTTGGAATTGGGCTGGGCTAGGTTAACCCGCCCAAGTTGCAGCCCTAATTTACATTGAATTGATTTACAATCTGGGCAGAATAATTATATATGTAAGTATATACACCATGTAACTCTTGTCTTAGAAGCATGATTATATATTTATACTCTTAATATTTTCATATGTGACCATGAAGATTGAGTTCATGAAATGGGATTATAGGCATATTATATATGAATTTAGATAGATTATGCCAAGGGAAGATGGATCATGCTACACCTCTAAATTAATGTAGTTAGGTAGATGGTCCATGCCAACCAAAGATAGTCTATGCTAGAGAATTGGTTTCATGTGAAAAACTTGTAATGTCAAGACTTTGATAGGCCATGCCTAGGGAAGATGACTCATATCACAACATAGTTTAGGTGGATGAGCCATGGCAGTCGCAGATGGGTTATGCTTAGTCTTGACTTACATGAATTTCTGAAAAATTGTTGTGATTGTTTTATACTTCTACACTTTAAACATCACACGTAATTGTATCCCTAAGTTATTTACAAGTATGCATGATTACGAGGTCTTGGTGAACTCAATTCCCTAGCCTCCCTTTAATTGTTATTTGAATTCAATTTATTTTATTTTAATTTTTATGCAATCAACAAACTAACAAACCAACCATCTTTTGTGACATTAACAAACACGAAATTAGTCTTTGAAAATTGATTGCCATAAGCTTCGCAATCTTCGTGGATCAATACCCCTACTTAGCTAGTTTCTTGTGAATTTGTGCTATAGCTAGTGTAGATTTATAATTGACTCTCCAAGCACAAGTTGTCAATACCACATGAGGTGTGTGCAATTTGCTCTAACCTTTCCCATCTTATCGAAAAATGTCCTCTAATAGGACAATCTTCTAAAATCTTTCAAGAACAAGCAAATGCCACATTCTCCAGACCGAGTAATAATCCATATTCTAATACCTATAACTCGGGATAGAAAAATCATCCAAATTTCTCATGGTGTAATCAAGGCCCGAGTAACCAAGTCCCACAATCTCATGGACAATTCCAAAATTAGTCCAATTCTCTTCCCCAAAATAATTCTTTCAATCCATCACCGAGCTATCATCCTCCTCAATTTCAAAATCAATCAAATTCTCTTAAAAATTATGCGTTCGAAAATAAAGTGTTGGCTGCCTTAGGTGATCTTCAAGTAAACACTCAATTGCTTCATTCTCATTCTCATTCTCAATCAATCGCTAAGTTAGAAGCTCAAGTTGGGTAGCTAGCTAGTACAATCAATTGTAGAGAGGAAGAGAAATTACCTAGTCAGCTCATGGCTAACCCGAAGGGCACATTTACATGATTGATGAGAACCAATCTTCAAATACTCATTATGAGCAAGTGCAGGCCATGACCACACTTAGGAGTGCGAGACTGATCGATAATAAAATTGAGGAAAAGAAAGAAGAATATGTTGAAATTTGTAAGACTCCAAATCAAGTAATTCCAAATCTAATGAGTATTCTTCGAATTCAAATCCATCTATTCCAATCCTTGAGACTCCATCTTAACCAAAAGCTAAATTTCCTCAATATCTAAAGGAACCATCCTACTTTGGCAAACAAGGGGAGAAAATTCAAGACATGATAGAGGTCTTCAAGCAAGTTAAAATCAATTTACCTTTCCTTAATGCAATTAAGCAAATCCTGGCCTGTGAAAAATTTCTGAAGGACTTGTGCACCCAAAAGCGCAAATTAAAGAGTCAAGTCCCTAAGAAAATCTGTCTTACCGAGCAAGTGAGTGCAATACTTTAGCATAGCACTCCTCCAAAGTTTAAGGATCCTAGAGCTCTTACAATTTCCTATTTCATTGGAAACAATAAAATAGAGAGAG